CTTCCTCGAGGTCGTCCTCAGATTGCACAGCGCTGCCTGGCTGCTCCCGAGAATCCTCTGAGCCATCATCTTCATCCTAAATCACCTGTGGATGAAAGAAAAATTCACATAAACTGCTGTCAAATAGCTGACAATATGGCAACGAAAACAGCAGGAATAAAGGTTGCACCTCCACTTCTTCGACGATGTCTTCGTTTTGTTCAGCTTGTTCTAATCGCATCAGTTTTTGCTGAACAACCTCTGTACTATCATCAATCATCTTTCGCTTCTTCGCCACAGGGGCTTCCACTCGCTCGCGACGCCAACAGAGCTCTTCAGGTAGTCGTGAAAAATCTGAGTATCAAAATACATTCTTGAGAAACATGCCATCAGGATACGGGTATGCAAGCTAAGAGTTTTTGAAAAAAATAGCAGATCTTAAAAGCATTTCCGGGAGATGAAGCTGAACAGACTACAGCGAGTAAGGTTACTTTACTCTTAAGAACACCCTTTTTGAAGGGGCGCGCTATTCTCCTGCTCGGTAAAGTGAGGGAAAAGCAACTTGCACTATGGATTAGAGTTCTAAGCTACAACTCAAAGCTGAAGATGAATCAACTAGGTGATTAGACGCTTGTCACTTCTACAGTAACACTAAACTCAACTCGATATTCTTAATAACTGACCTGGCTCAAGTTTTTCCCGATGGATTTCATTGTACTTATCAGTATACCGTCTAATATCCCTTACTTGAACATTATCCAAAAAGAATGGAGATTCTTGGAACCTGGAATAGATGGAAGCAGTTATTTCAGCCATACCAAAATTTAACTAAGCAGTGTAATTACCTATTAATTAATTCAAGCTTCAATTCTGAAATGTATTGTAATTCATTGGTGAGTTCCAGGGGGATGAGAGCTCGTTGAACCGTCTGAAAGTAGCACATGCTTTTTTACCAAATGGTTAAGTGGCTCGAAATTTTGATTACACCTAAGAAAGCTTTGGTTTTGTACCCCTTATGAACTTACAAACATGGGAACTTCACAGCCACTGCTGACTTGAATCATAAGGATGGATATTTCACGTACAGCGGTCAACTTCCTCTATTGTCACTTAATCCAAGGTCATTAGAGATTGGATTCAAATAAATGGAGGAGCGCAGAGAATCGTACATTCCAATGCATAGAAGAGCGGATCTGCGACGGAGTGTAACGACAGCACAAGCTTCTTGCAGACTCCCAAACGGATAGTCGAATCAACAGAAAAAAGCCACTAAGTTCTAAGGGTTGATGTTTTGACACCTTCGCCAGTC